CTGATAGACTCTGGGGCTCCCTTTTTTTCCAGGCACCCAATGGAAAGGTTTTTATAAAATAAAATAAAATAAACTCCTAGGGTTTTACTTTGCCTTTGTTCCAATTTACTGTGCACTTGAATAACTGCACCTGCTTTTAATTAAACAGCCAGTTGCATTCAAATATGGCGACCATTTTGAAGAGCCACTGATGGACTCTGTGGCTCCCTTTTTTTCCAGGCACCCAGTGGAAAGGTTTTTAACAAAATAAAATAAAATAAAATAAACTCCTAGGGTTTTCAAATTGGCCGGGCGAGGCGAACCGGCGACATGCTGAACCTGCCTGTGCATGCGCAGAGGCAGAGGAGAGCATATTGAGATCAGCTCTTACAGCATCTTGAAAGCCTGGTGTTTTCTCTCCCTTCCTTTCATGCCAAGGGTAGCCTAGTTAAATTTCATTCTGACCTGGTCTTGTTTCTTGAGCTGACCTCCCATTTTGCTAACAATCTCTATCTTCCCCAAGGTCAGCCTTATGTTGGTCTATTGCCATTTCTCTTTCAAATGGCTGGGATTTTATACTTGATTGTGTTGTCTTCCACGGGGGGGATGTAGGTGTTCTAAGATACCACACCTTCACACAATGGGCTTGCATGGCTACACAAAGGATGTTGTTTGGAAGCCGTGAATTCCTTGCTTGTAGGACCATCACCCGGGTCCTTGGGTTGGCTCTGAGGATGCACTGAGGACTTTCTCAGATGTGTGTCTTTCCACTCTGGCTTTCAGGGCCACAATCAGAAGGGGTTGGGGAGCTTTGCCTGGGTCTGACACAACACAGGCCAACTTTAGGAGCAACTACACTGAGCATTTCAGAAGATGGAGATCCCCCAAGTAATATTGGAAAACCTGAGGAGGAGAAATGATGAAGAGCTTGGCTAAGGTCTTTGGTGCCTACAAGGGGGATTCATCTTGATCCTCATGTCAACTTCTTTCATTCACTAATCTTTATCAAGAGCACGATAGAAGAAAATTAGCAATAGTGCCAAACATAGATTTCCAGATGCTGTTGTCCCCAGCATCCCTTACTCTGGCCTGAGGCTGCTGGGAGTTGTAGTTTAGCAACATCCGGACAGGTTTTCTGCCTCTGCTACTGTTTTGTTCTTTGTATTCATTATCTGTCTATCATCTATCTATCTATCTCATCCATCCATCTCTATTTCATCTCTATCTTTTCTTTATCCACCTTTTCTCCCTTTCATCTATGTATCTCTCTTTTGTCTATATCTTCACATTTTATATCTCTTTATCTCATCTATATTTCACCTGCTTATCCATTGGTCTATCCATCTCTCTATATCTCTTCTCTGTTTCATCTCTCCCTCCCTCCCTCTTTCCCTCCCTGCAATATCTTTTTTTGTTTATAATCCATGGAGAAAGGTGGGGGTATTATATGTATCATAAATAGAAAAAAACGCTTTTTGTAACATAACTGCTGCTAAAAGTGAAATGAATGCAGCAGAGCCATCATACCCACTCAAGTAAAAATACTCATCGTGTGATATCTCACTGGTTGAATAATTTAAGAGACGTAGTAGTTATCCAGTGTGTTAAGTTTCCCTTCTCCCTCCTTGCCTCTTTATCCTTATGTTGTGTCATCCTGACTATAAATGTACAGGCCAAATGATATAAAAAAGACTTTTGCAGAAATATTAGCAACTTTATTAATAAAAGTTAACACAATCCTTCATGCAACCCATGTAAAAAACAGGCAGGCTTTGACTTTTTTGAGACTTTTTCCCCCCCTTCCAAGTGCCCCCTGGAGTCTTGTGTAAAGAAAAAAAAATACAGCCTCTTTTATCCCTTTTTCTAATTAATAAATACAAAAAAGAACACCAAATTCTATGGGGACAAGCTAAAAAAAGAAATGAAAACATGCAGGATATGTATCCATAAACGGAAGTGATGATTCATTACAGACTTTCATAGCTAATCTATATTCATTAATTGTGCAAACCACAGAATAGTTGCAGCCATATATTTGTCTTTCCCGGGCTGGCCTTGTGGCTTTTCAAGCATAGGAGCCAGAACGGAAGATGGGAATCCCAACTATCTTCAGCTCTGTAGGGGTAGACAACCCTGGTGCCTGTTTGCTCAGTGGACTATTTCAACTCAATTTGAAATTGGAGAAAGGTGTTATGAACTTTACAAGGGTGGTAGGGTTAGGTTAACTGGCCCAAGGAAAGCAGAAAAGAGGAGTCCTTAAGGGAGGAGGGCAAAAGGTTCACAAGAGGAAGCCACCTCACGCAGGACCAAGCAAAGGTAGGGAAGTCCATGCATCCCCTTTGGAGCGAATCTCTGTCCCACCAGCTATTTTTTGGGGAAAATCTAAGGCCAAGTCAACTGTGAGTCATTCTGGAATGTAACATTTGCCCTTTCTGAAGTATGACTGAAGATTTGCAGGATCAGAAATTGTCTTCTCTAACTCTTGTTTTTTTTTTCTTTCCTTCTGATGCCAGATATGGGAAGGAATCGACATAGAGACCAAGATGCACGTCCACTTCCTGACGCTGGAACCCATGGCGTTCTGCTACTGACGACGGCGGAGTAGCTGCAACTGGGTGGTGGGAGGCTTTGGAGATAGCTGTGAGCTTGTTTGGGTGGGTGGGAGGGCCACATGTCTCTTGGAACAACTGCCAAGGATCCACGAAGTTCAGACTCATCTGGACCAGCCATATGGATTCCCATCTTGAGTTGAAGACCAACCTTCCAGTGTCCAGTAAAAGGACCTCCGCTTTGATGCAATGTTGTAGTGTTTGATATATTTGTGCAGTTGTTATGTGTTTTACTTCTAGCTTCCTGGGCTGTTATAAAACACCAAAAGGACCCCCCC